GAATGAATTTAATAAGCAATCTAAGTGAAATGGTTAATCTATTATTGAAAACACCAGTAAACTTATCATCAATTTCAATATGAAAAACCTAATAATAATGCAAAAATTTTAAAATAAAAATAATTAAAAAAAACTAACCCTCGGTGGTTGATTTGGTTGATTTTCCATTTCTGACCGTGAATGATTTCGCCGGAGATGGAGACTGTTATCGTCGGAGATGGGGGCTGATTTCGTCAGAGATGGGGACGGATGTCGCCTTAGAGAGTGAGAGATAGAGATGAGACTGAGTTGTGATTTAGGGTTTTAGGTTATGAGTTGCGATTATGGGATATACTGTGGACGGTTCAGTGTTCCGATATATTAATATATTCGTGTTTGGAATTTGAAAAAAAAAATACGCTTTGGATACGAATGGATATGTAAATCGCATTGCGATAGTCAGATTCGCATTGCGATTTACGTATTCGCATTGCGATTTAGGAAAATCGCAACGCGAATTTGAAAAATCGTAATGCGATAGTCAGAATCGCGTTGCGAATCTGGAAACTGATTTGCGATACCGGAGATCGCGTTGCGAATTATCGATCGCATTGCGATTTAGTTGGTCATTTTGGTAAATCCAAAAAAAGTTGGTTAAAATCGTATATTATAAGACATTTTTTGTCACTGAGGTTATTCTCTCTTCTTTTTAATTAGGGTAAACTACATAAATCATCACTTAACTTTTTATTATCTCCTATTTTACTCACTGAACTTTTAAATTTTTCAATTTACTCGTTAAACTTTCATATTGCTACTATTTTGGTCACTCCTTAACATTATAATTATAATTATTATGTTTTAGGGTAAATTATGCAAAATTTAAAAAAATTAACGACCGCGACACTCGTAATGACCGCGATAAACGCGACGTAACCGAGAACGCGACCGCGTACGCTATTTAAATCCCTGGGATACTGTGAGATGGACTGGCTGCACTAGTGGTATTTATTCCCCCAGCAGGTACTGCTTCAATGTTGCAAGCTCGGGGTTCGAAAAGGACAGATTTTGGAGCTTAGTTTGAGAGGTTTCAGCCCCGCTAAAGGTACAGGCGTTTGTTTGGAGGGCACTCACCAAAGGATTCCAGTCCTCGTCGAGTTAGCTAGGAGGGGTGTTTCGGGAATTGAGTCATGCCTCCGTGTTCTGTGTCAAGAAGAGTTGGAGACGACTTATCATCTCTTTTGCCATTGCAAGGAGACTTGGAGAATTTGGGCAAGGTGGTGCGCTTGCTGGAACCTTAACTTGGTAAGTCCAGGTAATGTTAGATCCTTTTTATTATCTTGAGATGCACAACCTGTTGTCTCTGCTTACAAACCTGCCTGGAATTTGGCTTTTTTCGGTATTTTATGGTCTTTATGGTTGTGCTGAAACGAATGTTGTTCAAAAGAAAAGTGTGGGGTGAGGACCAAATTTTCGACTCGACAGTGTTAAGAGTCGGATTCTGGTCGTTATGGTCTGCGTAATGCCCAGTAGTTAATGGATTTTTTCAATTCTCCAAGTAATTTTTTGTCCTTTCGTTCGCGTTTTGGTTAAGGTCTGAAGGTATTGGTTTTTCCTATGGTATATGAGTGTATGATGGAGGATGCTTTGATCAGTTGTGATGAGTTTGGGTGTTGGGTTTCTTGGTAAAGTTGAAGGGCTCTCGTTCTTGTTTTTCTTGTGAGTTTTGGCTCGTCTTTTGCTCAGGCAGATTGCCTTCTTTTTTTGCTGGTGTGATATGTTTGTTGCAGAATTTGGGCTGGCGTGCCTACTGCAGAATTTTGGTTGTGACGTGTGGTGAGAATTGAAGTGTGGATTGGCACTCGAAGGAGGGAAGGTTGAAGGTCATGCTTACTTGGCGGTTTTGAGATTGGAGATGATGTTTGGATTGTACTGATTCCTGGCCTCGTTTGTCCCTAAATGTTTCAGTAGTCTTGTTTGATTCGTTACGTTGGGGGTGACCTTGCCTGGTGCATTTTGGCTTTAGTGCTACAAGAGTGGGGGCTCCAATTGTTGGTGTGATTGGTCCCTGGTGGCTGCTGTCTTGTTGCTTCTCTGCTTGGAGCGTTGCAGAGTTTTGTTTTGGTGTTGCGTCTTATCTTGCTGCTGCCATGTGCGCATCAAAGGGGTTATCTGTGTCGATTTTTTGTTTTAGTAGTAAAGATACATGGATTTGTGTTTTGTTATAGCTGCGAGCTGTGCAGAGGATGGGTAGAATACTTGGGGCTGGCTGTGTGTATATGTAAGTGTTAGTTCCGATGATGCACTCTTTTTCTTTTATTTAGGATTTAGGGAAATTTTTTAGTGATTTTTGTCTAAATTGTCCGGTTTTGTATGTTTTTCATTAGGAATGCATATGAAACCACCTCTTTCAAAAAAAAAAAAAAAGAATAGAATCATTAAACACCTAAATAGAAAAAGAGATATATAATTTGAACATTTATTTTAATATTAAGCTTAAATTTAAATGGGCTTAAACCTAATTGTATCCTGATTAAAGGTTTGAGAGACAACTATAAATTGTTCATGTATTGTATTAAAATGCATAGTTCTATGCGTATGCTTATTTATTTTATTCTTGTAAATATCTTGTCGTAACCGTTATTCGGGTGAACTCGGGATTGGATTTCGACTTAAATAAACGTGTTAGAGCCGCCACCGATCATTTATTTTTAACAATAAAAATTAGGTTGATCGGGCACCTCGGTTTATTCTCTTACCTGATCTGCGTCTTACCAAAAATTATGTCGGGTTCGGGAGTCGGTTACAGTCAAGGAAGAATTAGCACCCTTATACTTCCCTTTCGGTACCAATTTAATTTTTCGGTTGTCTTAATTGCAAAAATTAAAAATTAAATTGAAATTTAAAGATTTGATTCAAATCACTTACCTCTGATAGATGCAAATTGCCTCTTTTAAAAAAAGTATCAAAAATAAAGTTAACAAAAAAGGGTAACATTAGAGTTAGAATAAAAAAAGTAAAAATTAAATTAAATTAAATTAAATAAGAAAAAGAAATAAAAGAAAAGAAAATTCGAATTAAAAGGATTGAACCATAAAGAATTTAAAATTAAGGACCAAATGGATATTATTTGAAAGTTGCAAGAAATAATATGAAGTTAGGATGGGCTAATTTGTAAAATATTAAAATATTAAACATATATTAAATTGAAACAATTCGAAAAATGCAAGGGCAAAATTGCAATAGGTGACCAAAATGAATTACACTTCAAAATATCAAGGACTGCAGAAATAATTTAACTATTCCCTTTTTACAACTTGGTCCCTCAGTTATAAATACTCAAAACCAAAAATAATTTCATTTTAAAACAAAACTTAGAAAAAAAAAACAAAAAATCTCTCATAAACATTCTTCCCTCATCATCCTCTCCGACCGAACACCGGCCTTCCCTTCACCATAACCCACCGCCCGGACCACCGCTTCGGCCGCCCGTAAAATGATCATCTCGACCCCGTGAACCCAAAACCTAAGTCCAAACGCCCTAAAAACAAACCCACCGGCGTAGATCTAAAATACAAAGTCTTGGGTTTACCTTTTCCAACGAGCCTCATCACCTTCCGATGACCGCTCCTCTCCTAGGCCACAATCGAAACTTCTCCTTTGTTATTTTGTGATTTTTTCGTTGTTTTGCGATATGCTTTTGCTCAATTTTTTCTATCTTGATGCTTATTTTTTATTTTATTGTCTTGCTGCCTCTTGTTCTTTTTGTGTTGGTTGACATGTTTTTTCTTTCGTAATTTGTAGGGGCTTTTATAGCCATGCTCGAAATGATTTTCTGGGGTTAATCTCGTTCGCTTCGGGGGTTGTTGACCCCCGTTTCTCGATTTATTCGGGCTGAGGGTTTCGATTTCCTCGTATTGGTTTGTTGGATGAAAATTTTGGGGATGGTTCAGTTCCGGGGTGTTATGATTTTTCGGATTCTTGTGTCGAAAATACCAGCCTTGATGGTGCTTGGTTCTCACGTGCTACCCGTTAGCTTCATGATATGGTCTGGGTCGTTAGATCACGGGGCCTAGATCTAACGATTGACGTGTTGCGGCGCCCTTTCCTAAACATCCTAACCCTAACTTTTTTGGGCTCACCAGGTTGGCTTGCTGGGTCAGGCTTGCCCGCCTAGTTGGGCTCCCTGTTGGCCTTTTGGACTGTTGGACGTGGTTGGACTTGAATCCTACTTTTGATTTGGACCTGAAATGGTTAAATAAATAAATAAATAAAATAAAATAAATAATAAATAGCAATATAAATAATATAATAATAATACTAAACCATATAACATATATTATATTTTCAAAAAATCAATTTTAAAAGCTATATACTATAAGTTTTCAAATATTAAAAAAATTATATATTATATGTTTTCAAAAATACGTTTTCAAAAACTATATTATATATACATTTTTTAAAATGTTTTCAAAACCATATATTATACGTTTTCAAAAATATTTTCAAAACTATATATTATATACGTTTTTAAAATGTTTTCAAAACTACATATTGTATACGTTTTAAAAATATTTTCCAGAACTATATATTATATATATTTTCAAAAAATGTTTTCAAAACTATATATTATATATATTTCAAAAATTTCAAATTATATATTATATATGTTATCGAAAAAATATTTTCCAAAACTATATATATTATATAATAATATATATATATATATATATACTAAATAAAACCCCGGACGAAAATGAGTGACTACAACTTCCCCTCTTTGCCCATTATCGTGTAACAAAAATAGGGCAAAGACAAAAAGACACAAATTTTCATTCGGCGTATGGGCTTGGAAATAAGCATGTTCCTGTGGGAGTTGTCGACTTCTGAGTTTGAAATCCAACTCCATGTTACTGTTGAATCTTTATCAGCTATTATCTGCTATGGAGTTGAGACTTGAAGAAAAATGGAAACTCCCTGTTGTTGAGTTGTATTGCGAGTGACTCTTAAGATGTCTTTGAACATGATATTCTTCGTTTTGAAGTTGAAATCGTAGCTCAAAATTTGAATCGGAAGGTGGCTCCTTGTTACCAAATTGTAGTCAACATTAGTCCTTTTCTTGGCTTAAAGACCTCGGTTTAAAATTCCTCTAGAAAGTACACCATGCGATTGATATGCCCTCGAGCTGAATGGAATCAAACTCGAAAATTTTCGTTGACGGAAAATTTTTCTCGACTTAAGTTATGCTGTAAATTTGGCTGGGAGATAGTTTCTTGTTGCTAAATCACATCCAATCTAGGTCTTCTTCTTGATTTAAAGATCTCAGTTTAAACTTCAACTGAAAAGTAGTTTCTTGATGCTACCATGTAGTTGATATGTCCTCGAGCTGAATGGAATCGAACTCGAAAGTTTTCATTAATAGATAACTTTTCTCGACTTAAGCTATGTTGTAAATTCGGTTGGGAGATAGTTCCTTGTTGCTAAATCGCAGCCAACCCTGGTCTTCTTATTGACTTAAAGACCTTAGTTTAAACTTCAAACGAAAAGTAGTTCCTCGCTGCTACCATGTGGTTGATACGCCCTCGAGCTGAATGAAATTGAACTCAAAAGTTTTCATTGACATATAGCCCTTCTCGCCTTGAGCTATGATGTAAATGGTTCCTCTAAATGAAGGATGGCTTTGCTTTACGAGTCTAAGTCGGTAATAATTCTTTAGATGACTCCCCTTCAGGGAAAGCCAAGTGGTATATTATTCATGTGGTTCCTCTTCGTGGGTCTGAACCAAGTGAGATGATCTTTGGACGACTCTCTTTCACAGGAAAGTCATGTGAGATGTTCTTCGAGTGGCATTGAAATATGGCTTGAGTTAAGCTAAACTGGATCTATTCTGAATTGACTCTCGAACTTTTCATATGTCAAGTTGGTTGAGGTGTAGCTCCTCATCATTGAGTTAAGCAACCACCATTGAATTTTTCAAGACGCTTTTGAATCGAGTATCTTTCGTCTTGAAGTTGAAAATTGACTCTAAAGCTGCAAAAATTATGTATGCGAAAAGTGATAAATGTGATTCTCTTGAGTATGTCTAAGGTATGCAAAATGAATTAGTTCTTGTTTTATTTCTTAGATGGAGTCTCATTCTTTGTCTATTAGTCTTGTCCTTGGAATTAATCATGCCTCAGCACTGATATCTTCATGGTAAATTTCTGACATTTGCTCATTTGATGGCTTAATCCAGTGATCTTGCACTCCTGATTGTATGGATTAGAGATTCTTAAGCTTTCTCTTTGTTTACTCAAGGGAATAAGACTCTTTTGCATTTCAGTTGATGATCAACTACTGGAACTGGTTGAATAATCTTCATAGTTGACACATCAATATTCAGTGAAAGGCTTCCTTACGTGGATTGAAAGCTCAAATGGCCACTGCTTCAGCCAAGGCTACCTCTTTCAGTGTTCGTAAAATTGTTATGATTATCATGGGAAAAGACTGGCGAATAATAAGGTATACCGCCTTGAAATTATATCAAGCAACCTCAGTGCTTCTTGTGAGTTCTCTACTTCTTGTTCTCGTAGAGTACTTTAAATTTCTTGCACGAGAATCTTGGCAACAAACTTGTCTTTACTCTAAATCACGTTTATTGGGTTGTCGTTATCATCAGAGCTTGCATTCATGTTGTTTCTCTTTGATACGACATCTTCAAGTACAAAAATAAACTCATACTTCAGGAGGGACCCGATAGTAAATGAATTTATCGCATCACAGGCTAACTCTTTCTAGCCAATGCATAGCTATAAGTCTTGCACCTTACTGGACAACCATCTTCATAGTAAAGAGAGATCGTACTGGATAAAGCAACCATCTTTACTGCTTATATGCACTTCTTCTTCGTAATGTCAAACTCTGTTTTGATAATAACCACCTCAAGAGGCACAGGTGTAGAAAGAGAAGAGATTGGAAACCTGGAGATGCCTCACATCGTTTCAGTTCTTCACCGATTTTTGAGAAACTATGTCTTGTTTGATATATATCTCCCCTTTTTAAAAAGGTTTGGTTGGTATATAAAAATGATGTCAGAGAAATTGAATCAAAGTGCCAGTTTACTAAATATCAATTAACGAAACACACAAGTTTTTTTTCAAAAGTTATAACCATTGACAAGTGTCAGATCCATGAATGATATGAGAAGGCAATGCGATTTGGTTTTGATTTCATTATTTTCAAATAGGAAGTAAACAAAATAGCGTAGCAGATGCATTCCACTGTACAACCCTTTAGAGAGCATTTATATTTAGTTCCATGAATCTTCTATTTGTTCAATTTTTGCAGACTCCTTAAATAAAGATAGTGTCGAAATATCGATCTAAAGATAAAACCTCTGAGTGTTTTTGTGTAGTCAACTATAACAGACGTTTCCTGACTTTCTTAGTCCATCTTTCAAAATTTAATTTCAAATCCACTTTATTTCAGGCCTTATCGCCTTTCTTTAAATTATACTTTGTTAAACTTGGTGTCATCGCTTGGATTTGCTGGAGATTCATCTTGACACATAGAGACTAGTATCATGATCTGAATGTACTCGTATTCCTAAAGTTAGGGAACTTAACATTGCCAATTACTTAGCGGAATTTCGACATTACCACCATAGCTGTTTCAAACATTACCTCCGAAGATTAATAGCCTACTACTTTTAGTGGAGTGCCCCCAGTATTGTTAGAATTATCGTTCATTAATATCACATTAATTCTTTGATTTCGAAATTTTCTTAGTTTGTCGGGAAGAATCTGTTATAGTCTGAGTGTCAGTGGAAACCAAAAAAATTCATTTTTAGAGTTCAATTTCTAAGCCAGATTTGTTATCCATCATTATGTTGTGAAAATTGTATAGTAGTGAACAGACATGCAAACTAACTGGTCTTGCAATGTCATGCATCAGAGATACCCTATTTTGTCTACTTTTATACGTGTTCAAGTGAAATAACATTCTTCTTTTTCGGGTAAAAGATATGGATCTTGTTTTTCTTAAAGGAATTTGATCACGACATATATCAAAAGGTTATAACATCATTTCTCAAAATGTGAGTTTCATTATACTTGATATTCATTGAATTTCAAACAATTCTCTATTACTCAAAGAAATGTCATTTTTTTTATTAAAAGGGAAAAAGTTCAAGCATATAAAAGATAATTCAAACAAGACATAATTTCATAGGTAACACACTCTGTGGTAATATTGATGACCTCCTCTTGTCTCATCTCAAAATACCTCTTTTCGATTGTGACATTCATTTTCAGAACCATCTCCAGTGCACAAACAACTGCTTCGGGAGTATCCTTACTTTCATTTTAAAATTCCAACTATTTCCTATCCACCATAAACTGGATCAAAACTTTAAACTCTGAGCAATCTTGCACATCATGCCCTTCTTCATTATGGTAACAACATTTGTTACCATCTTCACGTTCCGATGTATCGTACTGGGGTACCAGAAATCCTACTTTCACCATCATTTCCATACCCATGCTAGGGGAGACGTTATTTTAGCAACACCTATTTTGACTCTCTTGTTCCTTTCCTCAACAATTGCATTAACCCCGCTTTCTTGGTGATTAGGCAAAGGGTTCTATGCAATATTCGGTGCTTCTAGTTGTTGAAGTGGATCCATTCTTGTTGCACATTTTTGTACGATTCTCTTAAATGCGAAGCAGTTCTCAATAGTGTGCCCTGGGACAATGCCATGATATTCACAATGAGTGTTCTTATCATACCACCTGGGGTATGGGGGCTTCATGGGTTCCACCGGGTATGGTGACATTACATGAGTGTCAAAAAGTTGTTGATACAATTCTTTGTAATTTATGGGAATAAGATCGAATGTTCCCTTTCTTTCTTTCCTGGTTCCCTTGAATCTTGTCTAGAAGTACCTGACGGTATAGTTACAGTTGATTTTAGGTTGGAGATTGTAACCCCTTTATTGTCGTTGTAGGTGTTGTGTTATTAATCTCTCTATCTCTCTTCTTAATATAGGTTTCTTGCTTGATTCCTCTCCCTCGATTTGCCTTGTTTTATGGCCATTTCTATCATCTCTCCGGCCATAACTAGGTCATATAATTTTCCAGATGTGATTGCAACCAGGTGCCTGAAGTAAGGAGCCTTCAGGTTTGCACGAAGAGCTTCCTGGTTTCCTTCTCATCCAAGGGTGATGAACTTGGACAGCCAAATCCCTCCATCTTTGTGCATATTGTCTAAAACTTTTGTTATGCTTCTTCTCCATACTTTGTAGCATAACTCGATCTGGTCTCATATCGTTTATATGTTTGTATTGTTCCAGGAATGACTTGGCCAAATCCTTTCAGGTCTTGATATGAGATCGGTTCAGTTGGTTGTACCACCAGATGACTGAGCCAGACAGACTCCTGGAAGTAATGAATCTGGAGTTGGTTGTTTCCTACGTATCCTATCATCTTTGACAGAATATGGTAATGTGGGACGGGCAACTGATCCATCAAACTTCTCAAACTCCGGGGATTTGAATTTCGGAGGAAGAACCAAATCTGGGACTAACTTAGTTCTGCGACATCGACTCTATAATAGTCATGGTCTCCTTTAACCATCTTCATTTGGTCTTCTAACTTCTTGATTTTCTCTTTCATTTCTTTGCTTTCTCTTCTTCAAAATCTGATATATGATAATCGTCTGGATTATTCTCAGGGTTGGAGACAAAAGTATGTACTTTTACGACAGATGAGTCCCCTTGAAGTCCTGGTAAGATTCCGGTGATATATTTACCTGCGGGGTAGGTGGCATAAATACCCTTTCAGATATCCCTGCCCTAGGTGCACTTACTGGATTCAAGCTAGCTAATTTGAAACGATTTTAACCAAAGACTCTTGGCTTTTGGTGATTGACTCCAGAGTATTTTGATTATTCTGACTTATTTTCTCCTCCAACTCTTTTTGTAATCTTAGTATGTTCTCTTCGAGTTGAGCTATCTTCGCTTCCATTTTCTCTTCTTGAATGGATGTTATGAGGATGAGGTGTGTCCAATGCTTAGGTGGTATGTCCAATGTTTATTCCTTTTGATTAGACTTTTCTGTTAGTTAATGTGAATGTAAAGAAATGAAGAAAAAATATCAAATGCAAAATATGTATAAATGCATGATGCATGAAATGTTCGAGGCATTGATCCAAAAACATGACTTTTATTAGAATCTTTATTGGGAAAAAAGTGTTATTTCTTAAGAGACAAAAACATCTTAAATCTGACTAAGTCCTCTAGACCCCGAATAACTTCTAATAGGCTGACAAGTCTTCTTGTTTCATCTTTCACTGGTTGAATACCCTGTCGAACCACTCCAGCTTCTCTCGCAAAATCGTTCAAGTGACGAGCTGCTTTTTGTACTTGTTCCAAGAAATCTCGAATGATTGCATCTCGGCTTTCATTCTCTGATGAGCTTGTTCCCAACGAAAACACCATTGGAAACCTCCATCAAAGGGAACCATCTAAAGCTCACTGTTTGTTTCTTGAACCCATCCACAATGGCCTCTAACTCACATATGGTTTTACCACCATGTTCTTGCTATTTTTTAGGATACCTCTCCAAGTCAACTACCTTAGTCTTTAGTCGTTTTTTCTGATGTTAGCCATCTAACAAATGTCTTTGGGAGGTCTTTAGTTGTTCTAAATGCTTCGTAGTTCCTTAACATCGTTATGCTTAAGGCTGATAGAAGCATAACCAATTATATCTGACACATAATGTCTTACAGACTATCTCCCTTTTCTTTCTGGGTCTTTTCTGACCATAGCTGGACCTCTTCATTTTCACCTCTAGTATTACAACTCCTTTGTCCATTAATTCAAACTATTTACATTTAACGAACACGTTTTTGGATCAACAACTCTTTTGGATGATATAAATGATAAAAAAAAGGAAAAAAGTTAGTGAGATAAAGATAATATCAAAATAATAATGAAAAAAATCCTACCCTACCTGATATCTACCCCACACACTTATTATTCCTACCCAGACATAATCTCCATCCCGCATGTTGGGTTTGAACAAGTCCTAACCACATAAACTTCTAGTTCATGCTCTGAACAGAAAAGAAAGCATGAAATAATCTCAAAACAGCCTAGGTTTTAAAAGAAGTTTTGGGGTGGGCTCTAATTCCTTGTCTCCCGGTTTAGGTTTCTAAAAAAGGTACTCGAGTTCTCCTTACTGGTGCTCCCTTGGGCTTGTCATACCCTCAGTCCTAAGCCCATTACAAGCTTATGTGAACCAAGTTAAACTCGAGAGGATACATTCCCTTATGTCTATACGGAGAATAAATTCACACATACACGAAGTAAGGTACATGAATCCCAAAGGTTACTTGTTAGGCCTATACGGAATAAATTCCCACGAAGGCGTCGCTTTCACCTCCACTTATAGAAGGGTTTGGAGCTCAGGTATAGAGCCTGAAATGAAAATTTTAAAATCTAAAATCATTGAAAAAAACGTCAATACAACTATTTATTTGAGAAAAAATAATCAAGGATAAGTAATAAGGATTGAATAATTATATTAAAATTTAACCTTATAAGCAGAGTCGCCAAGCTGTCGTAACCATCCTTCGGGTGGGCCGAGATTGGATTTCTACTTAAATAAATGTGTTAGAGCTGCCACCAATCATTTATTTTTAACAATAAAAATTAGGTTGGTCGGACACCTCGGTTTATCTCTTACCTGATCTGCGTCTTACAAAAATATGTCGAGTTCAAGAGTCGGTTACAGTCAATGAAGGATTATCACTCTTGTACGCCCATTCGGTACAAATTTAATTTTTCGTTTGCCTTAATTACGAAAATTAAAAATTAATTGAAATTTAAAGATTCGATTCGAATCACTTACCTCTGATCGATGCAAATTGCCTCTTTTAATAAAAGGTATAAAAAATAAAGTTAACTAAAAAGGGTAACATTAGAGTTAGAATAAACAAGTAAAAATTAAATTAAATTAAATTAAAAGAAAAGAAATAAAAGAAATAAATTCGAATTAAAAGGGTTGAATCGTAAAGAATTTAAAAATTAAGGACCAAGTAAATATTATTTGAAAGCTGCAAGAAATAATGAAGTTAGGATGGACTAATTTGTAAAATATAAGAATATTAAACAGAGATTAAATTGAAACAATTCAAAAATGCAAGGGCAAAATAAAAACAGGTGACCAAAATGAATTACACTTTAAATATTAGGGATGTGAAAAATAATTTAACTATTCCCTGTTTACAACTTGGTCCTCAGTTAAATACCCCAAACCCAAAATAATTTCATTTTAAAACCAAACTTAGAAAAAAAAACAAAAACTCTTTCATAAACACTCTTTCCTCATCATCCTCTAAGGCCGACTAAGGCCGAACATCGGCCTTCCCTTTGCCGTAGCCCACCGCCCGGACCACTGCTCCGGACGCAGCCTTCGACGGCCGGAATCCTACAACTACCCGTAAAATGATCTTCTCGACCCCGTGAACCCAAAACCTAAGTCCAAACGTCCTAAAACAAACACACCGCGTAGATCAAAATGCAAAGTCTCGGGTTTACCTTTTCCGACGAGCCTCTTCACCTTCTGACGACTGCTCCTCTCCTAGGCCATAATCAAACTTCTCCTTTGTTATTTTGTGATTTTTCGTGGTTTTACGAGATGCTTTTGCTCGATTTTTGCTATCTTGATGCTTGTTCTTTTTTTTTTTTTGTCTGGTTGCCTCTTGTTCTTTTAGTGTTGGTTGGCATGTTCTTTCTTTCGTGCTTTGTAGGGGCTTTTATAGCCATGCTCAGAATGATTTTTTGGGGTTAATCCCGTTCGCTTCGAGGGTCGTTTACCCCTGTTTCCCAATTTATTCTGGGTTGAGGGTTTTAATTTTCTCACGTTGGTTTGTTGGCCAAAAATTTTGGGGATGGTTCAGTCCTGGGTGTTGTGATTTTCGGATTCCGGTACAAGAAATCCGACCTGGTGTGCTTGGTTCTAAGGTGCTGCTCGTTGCCCTCCTGATGTAGTCTGGGCAGCTAGATCACAAGGCCTAGATCTAACTGGTGATGTGTTGTGGCGCCCTTTTCTAAACATCATAACCCTAGCTTTGTTGGGCTCACCGGGTTGGCTTGCTGGGTCAAGCTTGCACGCCCGATTGGGCTCCCTGTTGGGCCTCTTGGACTGTTGGACATAGATCTTGCTTTTGATTTGGACCTGAAATGGTTAAATAAATAAAATAATACTAATATAAATATAATAATAATAATATAATAATAACGAAAAACCATATAACATATTATATTTTCAAAAAACCATTTTAAAAACTATATATATGTTTTCAAATATATAAAAAACTATATATTAAATGTTTTCAAAAACTATTATATATACGTTTTTAAAATGTTTTCAAAACCATATATACATTTTCAAAAATATTTTCAAAACTATATATTATATACATTTTTAAAATGTTTTCCAAAACTATATATTAAATATATTTCAAAAATGTTTTCAAAATTAAATATTATATGTTATCAAAAAATATTTTCCAAAACTATATTGAATATATATACTAAATAAACCCCGGACGAAAATGAGTGACTACACATCCAAATATGTATCAAGTAAAAATATTATGAGATAAATTTTTTTGAATAATAATAAATATTTTTTAATTAAAAATTTATTTTTAAAGTGTAAATTTATTTTGAAGAAAGGACTAACTTGAATTTTTAAATTAAATTCAAGTTTAGTGACTAAATTGCAATAGTATCAAAAATGTTAAATTTACATAGGTATTTCCCCAAGATCAATTTTCCCTTCATTTTCAACTATTTTACCGTGAACTATTGGTGTAAATTCCTTTGATTTTATCGATTTTAATAACTACCTTCTAAATATCACTGATGGTGTAAGATATTAATTTTATTGACTAAACCTATGTTTAAAATATGTTCTGCCAAAATTATGAATTTTAAAAGTAGAAATTAAATCGCATCAATTGATCAAGTTGCGATTTCTGTACTAAACTGTAAAAAATAAAAATTAAGGGCAGAGTTTTGAAAATATTTGGTCTATAATTTTTAGAGGTATTGAAAATATTTTTCATCCCAAATATGTTCGAATCTCATCCAAAATTCGTGGTAAGTCAGTTGATGTTCTCGCCTTTAATTTTTTTTAAAATTTCTTAACTAAAATAATTGTTTCATCCTCCTATGTGATATCATTTAGACCTATAACTTAAATCAACTAAGTATCGGTACTGTCATTTAGTACCCACCATCGTACCATATATCATAAATTCAATAAACTAAGCAATTCTAAAATGATGTCGTATAACTTCATTCAAACACCATAAATCAAACAACTACACTTTTAACATAACAACGCATACAAAATCATAACATAACTCTTATATATCAATTTTACACAATTGTTTACATACTCAAGTATATCGAAACATCGAACTTACATATAAAAACTTGAAACATCTTGGGTTTTGGCTTGGTACTTATCGATACTTAAAGATAGTTATCGAATAAACCAACTACACTTTTAAACATAACAACGCCTACAAAATCATAACATAACTCTTATATATCATTTTACACAATTTGTTTACATACTCAAGTATATCGAAACATCGAACTTACATATAAAAACTTGAAACATCTTGGGTTTTGGCTTGGTACTTATCGATACTTAAAGATAGTTATCGAATAGCATATCGATTTCTGGGGGAAAAACGTGTTTCAATATTAATTCAGAAATATTATAGAAAGGAAAATTCAAGAGGATTAAAATATTTGAATTTCGAATTTAAAGTTAAGGAATATTTTGAAACGATGACCAAAATTGACGCTCCAAAAGCATTATTCCTTTTTATGAATTTGTAGTTAAATTCTTTTTTTTAAAATTTTTTTTAATTACAAAATATATCTGTTTTATATGCCTTATTTTAATAATTAAGAATAATGTATTGGATTTAATTTAGTTCAACGAAATCATAACTAACTTGAATTTTAACTACATTGTTTCGTTTAAGTGTAAAATATGTGGGCTACAGGTATAAAGGATCTCATACCGATTTTTGTATCATATTGCGGTTTTGTTCTTGAAATTTTTGAAAATTAGTTCTCGTAGAATTAAGAAACTTTATATGTTTAATATGGTGATTTAGGGTTGAGATTAGAAATTCTTGATGATATTAATAGCGCTTTAGGTGTTGGCCTTGATGGTATAAAATGTGTCAGTTAAGTTAAGAAATCGTCGGTACGAAATGGATTCGTCGTGTTTTGTAGTGAAATTTGGAGTCTTTTTTTTATGCATGATTTAAGTTGAACTTCCAGCCAATTTTGTTGTTATTTATGCATTCTGATGTGTTCTTGAAGCTCAAGATTCGTTGGTGGCTTCCTCTAGCAATGGGAAGGAAAGGCGCCGTGCATTGAAGCGGTTGTTGTTAGTTGCTCATTGTTTCCGTAAGTGTACGGTTCGGGTGCGGGTTTGCACAAACCTTATTTTATTTAGAAACATAGGAGTAGGTTAATCCCCTATTATGGGTTCTCGTGTAATTATTGTCGATGTTCTCTGTGTTAATTAAAAGTTTGTACGTTTTAGAGATGTATGATCGGTCATTTCTGAACATTAGCATCGCGAACTTTTGTCGATAAATTTCCAACATTTGCTTGAATTGTGTCCACTATTTTTGATGCACCTATATGTGGTATGATATGGTACATGGAAGGTTTAAATACATGTGCAACACTAGTTGTTATAGTGGCACGAAAAGTGTCTATATGAGTTGTCGATAAAATTTATTGGTTGTAGTGATGATCGAATGAGATTTTAGCAAAGGTCACTCCAGTGACTAATGTAACAGTCGGTAACACTGCCCGGATCCGATCGAATATTGGGTGTTATAAACTTAATTTGTAATGGAACCCTCACATAAATTTGATAATTCAACCCCCAATTTAAGGTACCATGGTGGAAATGATTCTAAAACAAAGGGGACAATCATATTGAGCGTAGAAAGTTACACGGTTTAAAAACTACAATAACTAAAAGGAAATAACTTAGAAGTTAAATTACCAGAACATAGTTTAAACAATAAATTAGTAAAACAAAGAGCATGGTTTTCATAATCAAAAAACGGAATAGAAACATTAAACTTTGGATTGGGTGGGGTGCGCCAGGCCCCAGCAATAGTGCAACGCTAGGGCGACGCTCGAGAGTCCCAGTAGCAAGCTACTGTGGTGGACCCTCCCCCTCAAAAAATAAATTAATATCGTGTGACCATTGGCCCACGTATCAGATATTAAACTGATAAGAACAGATACTACACTTGATCTTAGCCAAAAGGCCGAGAAAGGTATGCTCTTCAATGTTCAAGGCCGTTGTTTTATAAGCACCTTCTCCCTGCATTCCTTCGTACCCCAACCATGTGGACGTTACATACAGCATCTCATTTGTAAGCTGCTTCTGGAAATAAACAGCTTTGGTTTTAAAGGCGATTCTCGCATAAAGCAGTTTCATTGGAGATAATCACTCTGCCAATGTCATTCTCTTCCTGGTTACACGATCACAACTTCAACCACATGTTATTTCATATTTGCATTCATCACATTAATATCAGTTACAAACCCACTTGTTACATCATCAAAATATTATTAGTTTTAATACTCATATGTGTATTTCAAGTTACTAATAGTTAAACTCTATTAGAAGCTCTTTTACTCCATCAAAAATTTATTTTAGTCTCTCTATTATTCAAAGGGACATTTTAGTCCCTGAATATTTTAGTCCAAAATGTTAATCTACAGTTACTTTAACCAAAATTTGTATTTAATATCTTTTTGTCCCCCATCAATTAACTGATTTTATCATTCTAAAAAAATAACAATCTACTTCGTATATTTCAGAAGCGAGCAAATAAGAACGACCCCTTACTATTGTAGAAATTGCAAATTTGCTACGAAATTTTTGCAAAAATTATTTAAATCATTTTTTGTAAAGAAGAATTATGTCAAAAATATTTTTAAAGAGCCAAAACACCCTAAAATGTGAAAACTTGAGCCTTAGATTTCAAAACTAAGTGTGAAGTTTTAAAACTTCTCCTAAGTGTTTCGAAACTCTTATACTTTTTAGAACTTCCATTCCGTAGTGCTTAAGAGTTTCGAAAACCAATGTTGGATTTTGTTACCCGTATGTGAGATTCCAAAGCTCATGTTCTAGCATATATATTCTAGGCCTCCAACAAATGATATTTTCAAACATGTTTTAGGAGTTTCGATTCTCCAAGAAGAGTTTCAAAACTATGGTTGCAATTGAGTATTTAAAATCACGAATTTCATGCTTAAAATGGTTAGAAGCTACCTCCAACTTCTCCAAACGACTAGAAATCACTTAGAGTATATAAAGAGGACCGCATAGTAGCTCAAGAACATCAAGAGAGGCTTTCCCAACATTCAAGAGTTTCGATGCCCGTGTGTGAGTTTCCAAACACATGTGCCAAATTCGATACTTTGTGCCTCCAACGATTTATATTTTCAAACATGTTTTAGGAGTTTCAATATACAAGAAGATTTCGAAACAATGGTTGCAAGGGTCCGTTTGTTTCACGTAAAACGTTTTCCGGAAATGTTTTCCTCATTATCCAGTGTTGGTTGGAGGAAAATTGGTTGGCCAACTTAGAACATTTCTGGTCAACAGAATTTCCTTTGTGTTTTATGGAAAATGACTTACGGTCTGATTTTCCGTAAGTCATTTTCCGAACTTTAGACTTGAAAGAATAAATACTCAAAATAATTTTATTTTATGAATTTAATATTAATAAAATATTCTAATATCATTTTAATCAAATATTAATTATAAAACATTTATAATATATTTATTAATATTTCTAATAATATAATATTATTTTAATATTATAATAAAATAATCACTTATATTATAATATTATAAGATATATATTTTCATTTTAATAATTTATAATAAATTATTAATAAATTTATTATTTATTAATTTCATAGAAATAATATTATTAAATTATTAATAATAATATTATTTATATATTTAATATTAATATAATAATATTTTAATGAAGATATTTTAAAATAAATATTTTTTTAAATATAATATAACACTATTCCTTTAATTTATAATTAATATAATTTATAATATTTTTAGTTCAATAAAATATACCAATATTTTTATTTTTATTAATAAAATTATAAAAATAATATTTTAATAATAAATAAATTATTTAATATTTTAAAAAGAATAATATTAAGTTTCATGATCAATAAATTATTTTTGTATTAATATTTGTAATAAATAATTTTTTAAAATTCATCAACTAGTGAAAAAAATGGTTTAATCTTCCAAACAACGTAAAATGTTTTCCAGAAAATTTTTCAGAAAATGTAATTCCGAAAACGTTTTTTGGGAAACAAACGGTCCCTTAATGCAAAATTTAATGGTTGGAATGTAACTTCTCAAAATCCGAGTCGGGAGAATCATGTCTAATTTCACAATTTGTGTAAAATGAAAATTTTCGAAATATTATGAGATAATTTTTTTTCGAATAATAATAAATATTTTTAAATTAAAAATATTATTTTAAAAGTGTAAATTGATTTTGAAGAAAGGACTAACTTGAATTTTTAAATTAAAATTCAAGTTTTGACTAAATTGCAAAAGTATCAAAATTGTTAAATTTACATGGGTATTTTCCCAAGATCAATTTCCCTAAATTTTAAACTATTTTGCCGTGAACTCTTATTGCAAATTCCTTTGATTTTTATCGATTTTAATAACTACCATCTAAATTGTTTTAACTGCCTTACTTCTTCATATCCGTTTTGCTTACAAACACATTTTGAGCATCGTAATTGATGCTCTTAAGTGTTTATGATTTGGCGCTATAGGTAAGAATTCCGATCTTTGTTGTGATTCTCGTGTTTAGTTTTTTAGTAAATGTCACTGATGTGTAAGATATTAATTTTTATTGACTAAACCTATGTTTAAAATATGTTCTGCCAAAATTATGAATTTTAAAGTAGAAACTAAATCGAACATCATTGATCAAGTTGCGATTTCTGTACTAAACTGTAAAAAATAAAAATTAAGGGCAGAGTTTTGAAAATATTTGGTCCATAATTTTAGAGGTATTGAAAATATTTTTCATCCCAAAAATGTTCGAATCTAATCCAAAAATTCATGGTAAGTCAGTTGATGTTCTCGCCTTTAATTTTTTTTTAATTTCTTTACTAAAATAAATTGTTTCATCCCTCCTATGCTGGTATCATTTAGACCTATAACTTAAATCAACTAAGTATCGGTACTGTCATTTAGTACCCACCATCATACCATATATTATCATAAATTCAATAAACTAAGCAATTCTAAATGATGTCGTATAACTCAATTCATTCAAACAACATAAATCAAACCAACTACACTTTTAACATAACAACGCATACAAAATCATAACATAACTCTTATATATCAATTTTACACAATTTTTTTACATACTCAAGTATATCGAAACATCGAACTTACATATAAAAACTTGAAACATCTTGTGTTTTGGCTTGGTACTTATCGATACTTAAAGATAGTTATCGAATAGCATATCGATTTCTAGGGAAAAACGTGTTTTCATATGAATTCAAAAAAATATATAGAAAGGAAAATTCAAGAGGATTAAAATATTTTGAATTTCCAATTAATTACAAATATATCTGTTTTATATGCCTATTTTAAAAATTAAGAATTTATTAAAACATTTATATATATTATTAATATATTTAATAATATATATTATATTTTTTATATATTATAAAATATCACTTATATTATTATAATATATTATATTTTCATTTTATAATATTTAATAAATTATTATAAAATTTATATATTTATTAATTCATAGAAATATATAAATTTATTAATAATTAATAATATTATTTATATATTTAATAAATATAATAATATTTGAATGAAGATATTTTAAACCTAATTAATATTTTTTTAAATATAATATAATACTATTCTTTATTTATTTAATAATTATATATTTTTAGTTCATAAAATATACCAATATTAATATTTTTATTAATAAAATATAAAAATAATATTGTAATAATAATAAATTATTTTAATTTTTCCAAAAGAATAATATTAAGTTTTATGATAACTAATATATTTATTGTATTTATTTTGTAATAAATTTTTTTAAAAAATTCATCAACTAGTGAAAAAAAAAATGGTTTAAACCACCTCTTCCAAACATCGTAAACGTTTTACAGAATTATTTTTCAGAAAATGTAATTTATTTTACGGAAAATTTTCCGAAAGCGTTTTCTGTGAACAAACGTCCCTAAATGAAAGTTTTTTCAATAAAATATTAAACTTTTTTAAAAATACGTTTGAACATAACTTTTAAGATATTAGATTGATAAGTGTACCAACAAAATGAGACAAGTCAAAAGAGAAAATGAAAGGTTAAATACTATAACTATACCTTTTTCATGCCTATCATTTTCTCGCTAATCTAAAAACACAATTGAAATGTCTAATTTTGCTTACATATTTGAAAATGATACAAAACAATGTAAAAAAGTCTTTGCATGTATATTGAAAAGTATATATACCAACTACCCCATAAGGAATTAGATATTCAACGGATAAAGAAAAATATCAGATAAGGAATTGGATAAGAATGCACAAAGTAATTGAACAACTGAATTTTTAATTACTTTTTCATACAGCTAAATTTAAATACATATGTATGTATTTGTTATTTATTTCCCAATAATATATTTTTCATTTTCAACAAACATTTTTGAATTTATTGTCCTTTATCTGTTTTTCATTTTAATGTCATTCTGGACAAAGAAAAGTAGGTCCTAATTTGTGGTAAAATTGAGGATCCAATTTTCACACGGTTTGTGCGAGAGAGCACAGGTTCCAAATATATATATATATATATATACACATATATAATAGTCTGAAGTAAGGTGATTATAAGGTATACTTGTTTATAATTATTTTAATTATTGGGAACACCACACACCTTTATAGATACGATTGCTCAAGTTTAAAATCTCAAAGAATAACATTTTTTAACTACTAAAACTACTTAATGAATTCTCTAAATCTGTGCATATGTATGCACTACAATTCATTGAGTGCATATCTTTTGCTGAGTATGAGATGTCAAATATCATCACAGTAATTCAAGAGAATGATTTTAATATATTATTATATGTAGGGATGAAGTTATGATTTTAGTTCGAAGAGATAAAATATATTTTTTCATAAAGTAGAATAATTTATAATTATCCCATAAATATTTAAATTTATATAGAAATTAATGTAAATTCTTTTCTACCTGATTGGGGGCCATAGCCCCTCCCATGTATATAGTAGTTTCCGTCCTTGATTATACGAGTTTCATCGTTTATATATAATGATAGATTATTATTTACACATACTGATCTATAGTTTTTTTTTTTTCTTTTCGTTTTTTATGAAGATTTATGTTATTTTGATATCTCATTTTTTTTTATTAATTACATACTTTACTGATGATATCTGTCTCTTATACCTACCTCATTTAAAAATCTTGTGTTGTTAACATATGTGTACCTATTCTAAAAAATATTTTGAATCTGTCACTAGTTATTTAATCCACTTTTAATAAAGTATTAAGTAGTTAGTATAATCAGTGTTTTTTAGATATATTTTAAAATTTTAAAAAATAAATAATAAAATATTTATCATCAAGTGACCTCAAGGGTAAAAAATAATTGTTATTCTTTATAGAGATATCGAGTTCGAATAATTATATTTGTATAGTGTGAGTACGTTCATTATCGATTGACTAAGAAAATTCTAGACAATACTACATTATAATCGTCGTATAAAATATTAATATAATTTTTCATCGAACTAATTCATAATTTCATGATGTTTTAAGGGACTGAAGGGCATTTTTTTCCATTTTAAGGGAGCAAGTTCTTTTAATGTGATTGGTAAATTTCAATTTCAAATTTTTGTTTACATTTATATGTGAGGAGTGAATTTTAAAAGTACGTATGAAATTTGAATTTTTTACCCAACATGGTTTATCATTAAAACAGTTAAAGAATTTCAAAATATCACCTAGGGTTGTTCATTCGTTAAAATCGAACCGAATCGAACTGAATTAACCATAATCGAATTAATTAAACTTTTTTTAACCGTTAATTGAACCGAACTTTTTTTCAAACATATTAACCGAACCGAATAAATTTCGATTAATTTGGTTAATTTTTGAATTAACCGATTTTTTTTAAAATTTTCTAATTTATATAAAAATTAAATATTTTTTAAATTAAAAAAAAGTTTATAATAATTTAAATATATAATATAAAATAAAATTTCAGATATATTTTTAATTAATTAATATTGATTTAGGTTTAAAAGTTATTGGATCTTAAATTATTAATTGAGTTTTAAATAGTTTGGGCTTAGCCCATATGTTATAATATATTAATATTTTTTAATTAAAAAAAGTTTACAATTAATTTAAATAATATATAATTATAAAATAAAATTTTATATAATTTTTAATTAATTATATTGAGGTTTAAAAGTTATTAGATATTAAATTATTAATTGAGTTTTAAATGGTTTGGGCTGAATCCATATGTTATATAAATATTTAATATTTAAAATTTAATTTCGGTTAATTCGATTAATTAACCGAATTTAAATCGAATTAACCGAACTAATTCGATTCGATCGATTAACCGAATTAATTCGATTATTTAAACACCCTAATATCACCCACTTTTTCATCCTCACATGAAAAAGTAAACGTCAACGAGACAGTAAAAGATAAAGAGTAAAAGAAGTTAAAAAAATCGAATTTTGAAATGTTGATTGCGCCAGGCATCGGTCCACTTACCTGCAAAGAAAGAGCCAAAATTCTCAACATATTGTGTATTAGTTATATACTGATATAATGAATCGACGCGTTTTGACGTTGCGTTTGTTTTTCAAAGGAAATCATGGTCACCATTTGATGGAAAACAGTACTCCGATTTTTTCTCCTTCGTTTTCCATGTATTTGGTTTAAAACCCGTGAGTTTCGCGCTCCTTTGGCACTTTGTCTTTTTTGTTTTCTTTTTTCCCCCTTTGTTTTATTTTTTATTTTATTTATTTCGTTGTTTTGAGCACAACCCAGATTTTATTGTGGCTTTTTAATGATGTGTTAAGATGCTAAGCTTGGAAATCTCAACTGGGTATTCTTTTCCCTCCTCTTTGGGTTTGTTCTTTTTTGGTTTTGTATTTTCTTTCGATTTGTAATGTTTGAAAATTGAAAAAAAAATGTGTTTTTCTTTTGTTCTATTGTTGATTATGTTTTGATTAATCCAAATGGGAAAGTTGGTTTTGGTTAAACTTAGTTTGACATTGCATCGAAAAAGAGGAAAACTTTGTTGGATTTTGACATTGGGTTTGGGAGAGTTGTTTTCTTTCACTTTTCCTGCTCATTTTCTGGTTGCATTAGAAGATATAAATTTGAAGATTTTGATTTTTCCTTGGTGGGTAAATCCAATTCAACTTGGTCTATTTGATTGTAATTGGAGGAAGTTTTGTTCTGTATGTTATTCTTGTCTCGTATATTGGTTGCTTTTGATGTTCATTTTGCATAAAAAAAAGGTTAAAGATAGTTCTTTCCTGCATTATTCAGCTTTATATTTAATTAAAATAGATAGTATTTTCATTAAAAATCTGGGAATGTTTCTTGCTTTCTTAGATGATTGTGTTGTGAGGTAAGGTCGTTTTTTGCAAACCTGGGTTCTATTGCTTTGTTTGCTTAAAGATAACAAATACTGTCATAATAGCACTCCTCAAAAGAATTAGCAAATTGTGTTATATGTTCATTCATTGAAGGAATTCGATATAAATGCATGTATGTTCTCATGGTGTCTGAATTGTTTATTTTGTGTGTTTGGTGGAAGAATGGTCCATCTTATTATGCATTTGTTTTCTTCTTGCTTTTCTGCTGGGAGATCATGGAAAACATTTAATCTTATTTTCTTAGAACATACTTCCCCGTGTTGGAATTCAGAGCCGGAAAGAAAGAAAACAGTTATTTTGTATTAGGATGTTGCTTTTCATCTGTTCTGGCTGTTTATATATTAGTTTCACTGATCACAGTTTTGGAAGAACTCAAACTTTGTTTCATCTTTAGGAAATTTGAAGATCAAGAGATAATAAATAGGAAGAAGCCTTCTTACACGAACATTGAGGTGTTCTAGGTGGAACGTTCATATACAGTCATTTCAATGGATATTGAGTTGCCCCGGTGGGATGTATATGATTGTAATTATATCGTTAGTTTTGCTGTAACTAGATTTTTCCATCAAAAAAGGTCTAGTACAGTTGAAAATGGTACCTGATAAATTTTTGGTTTTTATTTCAATATGATGAACTATACTAGGAACTCTTCATGAAGTTTAGCCACCAATAAAAGAATCTGTTTAGATCTGGTTATCAAAATGCTTCTTGTTTTTCGCCTTGCTTGACTTATTTTCTCCTGGATGTTCTACTGCATATGATTCAGGAATATGCTTTCAGTGTGGTATGTTTAAAATATGTTGTTCTTCCTGCGACATCTAACTTTTATCCTGTATTACAGGGAAATAGAGAGAGAAGCCTTTTAAAAGTAGATAAATATAAAATAATTGCAGTAGTTGACATTTCGAGTAGCAATGGCTTCTAGAGGCAGTGCTTGCAAAGAAGTTGAATCGCATTCCCCTGTTGCAGATTATGGCATTGCTTCTACAAAATCTGAGAACAATACTACAACGATGAAAAATGATTTTAGTTATGTTGGAAAAAACGGAATTCATTCAAACAACGATGTTTACGAGCTCCTTGAGTGTCCTGTATGTACAAATTTGATGTATCCTCCAATTCACCAGGTTTGATCTGCATGCATAACACTTATTTTGGCTCTTCTGTAAAATATAGTTTTGTAGTAGCATTTTGTTTTTCCCCCCTTTTCATTGTTTTTCGTATTACCCAGTTTTCTTAGTTCATTGCATGAAGGCTACATGTGTGCCTTCATATGCATGTATGGAACTAAGTGATGATATCTGTATGCTGGGGGTGGAAATGGTGATGAAGAACTGGTTACGATACCTTATCTAGCTAGGTTTTTTTATGTACCATGTGAATGACTATGGACATAGGGTTGTAGCCTGTAGGGAGGAAGGTTATCTATGTCTATCTAAGACGATAGCTTATCATCTTGGAGTTGGTTTGTTGCAGTGGAGAGTTAACCCCGTGAGGCCGCAACGGTAGATTGAAATAACCATTGTAATTGGAAAATGATTTGAAAGGTTTTGGCTACTTTATAGACTTCGCCCTTTTGGTGTTTAGTTTTATTACAGTTACTTCTTCCTTTACTACACAAGTTCTATGGGGATTTTGACTGTGGAATTGAAAATTCGTTCTTCGATTCATTCCATTTCTTTTTTTCTTCTGTGAAAGTTACTCAGTTACTCAAAATTTTGATATGTTGCATTCAATCTTCTATTTCAGTGCCCAAATGGACCACTTTATGTTCCAACTGCAAGATTAGAGTGCACAACTGTTGCCCAACATGCCGGTATGATCTTGGAAACATAAGGTGTTTAGCTCTGGAGAAAGTTGCAGAAACCTTGGAACTCCCATGTAAATACCAGAATCTAGGTTGCCACGATATCTTCCCCTATTACAGCAAGCTTAAGCATGAGCAACACTGTCTGTTCCGCCCCTACAATTGCCCTTACGCTGGGTCTGAGTGCTCCGTCACTGGTGACATATCTACCCTCGTTGCTCATCTCAAGGATGATCACAAGGTTGACATGCATGATGGATGTACCTTCAACCATCGATATGTCAAATCAAATCCACACGAAGTTGAAAATGCCACATGGATGCTTACTGTAAGTTCATTTTATGCCACAGCACATATAAATCAAGTGTTCTACTTCTATGATTCGCTTATGAAAGGATTTCTTTGACATTTTGTACAGGTTTTTAATTGTTTCGGAAGACAGTTCTGCTTGCATTTCGAAGCTTTCCAGCTTGGGATGGCACCTGTCTATATGGCCTTTTTACATTTTATGGGTGACGATAATGAAGCAAAAAAGTTCAGTTATAGTCTGGAAGTTGGTGCCAACGGCCGTAAGCTAATATGGCAGGGTATTCCCGGAGCATCCGCGATAGTCATAGGAAAGTTCGTGACAGTCAGGATGGACTGGTGATACAGAGGAACCTAGCTCTATACTTTTCAGGTGGCGATAGGCAAGAGCTGAAGTTGAGGGTAACTGGCCGTATATGGAAAGAAAACGACTGAATGAGGTTGAAGAACATGGCGAATCGAGGTGATTTTTTTGTACAGTTTCAGAAAACTTGAGTCTTTGGCTAACGAATGAAAGGTTTTGTTTTGTAAATTAGTGATGTATTTGTTACTGGGATATGTCCAGTCTAATCCCTCTGCTGACCGCCTGGCCGCCACCTTCTGCAGAATGTTAGTGTAGGAAATGATATACTTGGAATTTGAATCCCTAGAACTATTTCTTTTTGTTTTGCATCTTTTGAATGCAATCGCCGTTGGCTTCCTGTATGAAACCATCTTCATTATCAACCTCTATTTTTCTCATTTTCTCTCAACGTTTTAAAACATTGACAGTGGAGAAGACATTAATGAAATGAGATATAATCAAAGGTAAAGACAGAGAGAGGATCAAATGTTGAGGAAGACAAAGTTATTTATATCAAAGATTAAGATTCTATAGAAACAGGAGTGTGTATGTTTAAGCAACAACTAAACCATATTGACCACATTACTTTCCAGATTATAACAAACGACACCAACAGCTTGTGATGAATTGCAAAGTAATTAGAGAAATGAATATATAATAAATAGTCTGGCTAATAAAAATTGCAAACCATATTGACCCCAGTCAAAATGCATCAGTCAAATATGCAGCAGTAACCAAATCCAACAAATACATGAAACAACAATACTGAAGCTGAATTCCAGAATATTAACAGTGGCTGCAACACATACCAGTAAACATTTACATTATGAATCTCCTTGAAGATAGACTTCAGCATGCAAATGGGGTTATCTTAGCCGCTGCCAAAGTCATTTTACAGTTAATCTTGGGGTTGTTGTCTTAGCCGCTGTCAGTCATTTTACAGTTAACCTTGTCCATGATTGATGTTCGCCAACATGGTTTGTTTACAGGAGGAGTTTGGTAATGAAATCCTTTTAGATGAAGGTGTATGAAACGTATCAAAGCACCGTTTTTGACCCTTCTTAATTTAGGAAGCCCAGAACAATTTATGCAGTTTTAAGTCATCTGCACCTCTTGGTTATGCGACCGCCTTATGTATTTTCCTCAGACTACAAACACTTCTACTGCCAGTATAATGAACCATCTTATGTCAAATGATTGAAGCTTGAAATGTTGACAGAAGAAGCAAATGAGAGCAATACTGATGAGATTGTCACTGAATTATGCGAGTATGTTGCTAATATTAATGGCTGATGACTCACAGCACAATTGAAACTATTATTGTATAAAATAAAGAAGAAAATAACAAAAATAGGCATTATATTGCTGTTAAACTCGAAAATGAATTTTAGCCTTCAAACAAAAAATATAAAATATTTGTTTGAACCAACCAGCGTACTTTTCGTCCTTGGATTTTCATTAAACAAAATTTAAACCGGTCGGCAAACTGGATTAGACCGGCTTAGAAGTTGGATCCCCTGAAGAAGGAAACCCAAACAAGAACCAAAGCCCAACCCAAAAATGAATCGGCAAAAGAAAAGGAAACCCTAAGATGCGGCTATAAAACAATCACAATTAGGGTTTTGAAGGTACTTTAAGCTCATCGCCACATTCTTTCTTCAACCTGAGAGGGGAAAGATGCCAGCCGGTCACGGTGTCCGCTCTAGAACAAGGGATTCCTTCTCCAGGCCTTTAGAAAGAAGGGTTACATTCCCTTGACCACTTACCTCAGGACCTACAAGATCGGCGACTATGTCGACGTCAAGGTAAACGGCGCCGTTCACAAGGGTATGCCCACAAGTTCTATCACGGCCGCACTGGTCGTGTTTGGAATGTCACAAAACGCGCCATCGGTGTTGAAGTTAACAAGCAGGTATATCAATGGATTTGTTTTTTAAACTGCCTATTTTTTTCTTTATATTGACTAATGAAGTTCTTTTATTTCTGGGTTTCTGTTTACGGGTTGTAGTGTATTCTATTTTTGGGTTTTCTATATCACTTTGCTTGTTTTGTTATTTGAATTATTCTGTCTTGTTGTGAAGCTCTGTTTAATCATGATTTAAGTTGTTGATTACTAATGCTTAGTGTTTCGTTAGAAAATGGATATCTTTAATTAAGAATTAGGATCTAAGTGATGCTTCTTAGAATCCGATTATAGTTGTTTATTAACATGTATTATACTGTTATGCTATATGTAATCCAGTGTCGATATTAAGTTCTTTTTGTA